AAGCTTCCACTCTCTTTAAGCAGCACAGACTTGATAAAGTTAAGCAAACTGATGATGACTAGAGGGAGATTCATCTTTGCCTCCTTTGAGGGGCAGCAGTACAGTTGTGTCCCTGGGATACTCAAGGCTGTACCCAGTGGAAATGCCCAGCTAGCACCCAAAAGTTCTCCATGTCCACAGAGGCACTCATCAATGAGGTGTGAGCTTTTTCCCCACCAGCTTTGACTGGTTAAAAACTGGTTAGATGTTTAATGCAGGCCACAACTGGACAGCAATGCTACCGTCAGCCATTGGAGAGCAATCCTTAACACTTACCTTGGGACTGGATGAATAACCCTCTCGATTCGCCAGTCTTTCTGCATCTCCCATAGCCCTGAAGACAAGCTTTCTATTAGACCTGCTAAACCACGTCAGACCATGACAGCTGCAGTGAGGTAAGACAAGTCCTGCCTTGATTGCTCACTTTCTCCATGTAATAAAAGCAAAGGCAGGAATCCTTAAAAGCCCCAAGGAAGGTATTGTTGGCCTTGTTGCATGCATATAAGGTAGGCAGACAAGATCTCCTGCATGCTTATTTTCAGAGGCACCTGCTGACTATCCAGGGAATTTAGAACTTGCTTTAGGAGGACAGCTTCACTAGTTGCCCGACATGTAAATGCAAACAAAAGCACTCCCCCAGGTGCGGCATTTGGATTGAACCTCACTTGCAAGCCACTGCCAGGGGCAGGGTGCCGGGTGTCTAACCCTGGTACGTGACAAGGTGTTAGGTATGTCATGGCTCAGCTTGGACTATTGCTCTTTTCTGTGATTGCCATGTGATGTGAGAGAACCCAAATGGGTCCTGCCACCAGACCCAGCTGAGGTGCAGGGACTGAGACTTGTTTCTAACCCCTTTGGCTTGAAAATGCAGTGCTTCAGCCTCCCTGATCTCCTGCTTGCCTACGTGTGCTCCAACACACATAGAGCTCCAACTAGCAGAGGAATGTCCTGACCACTTAACTTTCCTGCAAGCACTTTGGAGCCACAGATCTTTGTAAAATACCTCCAGAACAGAGAACATACCAGGACTCCTGATATGCTTTTGAGGCACTCATCCTGCCTCTTCGATGAATCTGAATATGCTGCTATTTTGCATCTGGCCCCATCTCACTTGCTTTCCTCCTTTCTCTTTGTCCCATATTGCCCACATACTGGTACAGAAGCTCAAACAGAGGTCATGGGCTTGCTGTAGCTTTCTCTCCACTTCTCATCTTGCTTTACTGCTTGAGAGATAGGAAGCTTTTCTAAGCAGAACAGTAAGCTGAGCAGTTTGCATAACAGTATATTGGACAAGGATGCAAAGCAAAGTACCACCCCTGTCTCTTATCTTTCATCCCCTACCAAAGATAGGAGGAATAATCTGAAAATGTGTTTTGTTAAATATGGCTTTGCAAGGTACAAGACACTGATGGCCACCATCGAATCCTTCGATGAAGTGTGGTAGAGTTTTTAGTTCTGTTTTCCCAAATCAGAGCCAGTGTAATAGTCTGTCCAGATTTATAATCCCGATCTGTACAAATAAACATGTGTGCATAGGCATATGTGTAAAAATGAAATTTGTAATGCAATAAAAAGTTCCGTACTGCAAAGAATTATAATGCTCTACTGCTCTTTGAAACATCCTTGCAGATCTGTTGGTCTGTGCAGCCGTTTTGCCCTCTGTCGACTTCCGTATGTACCTGCAGCTTTCCTCCTCTAGCTCGAAGTCAGAGCTGACTCTTGCTCTCCGGGCAGCTAACCAGAAGGCTTCGTGATGCGGTTTACTTTCCTGACACAGACTCACAGATAACTGAGGTTGGAAGGACCTGTAGGGGTCACCTGGTCCAATCCCCTGCTCAAGCGGGGTCATCTAGGGCCAGTTGCCCAGGACAATGTCTGGATTACTTTTGAGTATCTGCAAGGATGGAGACTCCACAACCTCCCTGAGCACCCTGTGCAAGTGCTTGGTCAGCCTGACAGTGAGAAAGTGTTTCCTGACATTCAGAGAGAGCCTCCAGTGTTCCAGTTTATGCCCGTTGCTTCTGGTCCTGTCACTGGGCACCACTGGAAAGGGCCTGGCTCTGTACTCTCTGTACACTCCCTTCACATATTTATATATTTGATTGGTTGATTGATGGCTTGGCTGAGATCTCCCTGAGACTTCTCCAGGCTGAACAGTCCCTGCTCTCTCAGCCTTCCCTCACAGGAGAGATGCTCCAGTCAATCATCTTAGTGGCCATTTGCTGGGCTCTCTCCAATATGTCCACATCTTTCAAGTACTGGGAACACAGAACTGGACCCAGCACTCCAGTGTGTCTCCCCAGTGCTGCTCAGAAGGGAAGGATCACCTCCTGCCATTTGCTGGCAACACTTCTCCTTATGTAGCCCCAGATCCTAGGGGCCTGCTCTGCTGCAAGAGGACATTTAATGTGTACTAATGAATTCAATCAAAAGCAGGAGTGTACACAGGTACCATAACCTCAGTGTTCATGAAAGGGGTGCCATAACCAAAGAAAGGTGAAATTGAGTTAAACCAGGAGCAAAAGAACAAAACAGCACTCAGGCAATCATGGTTTACAACTATCACAGCCCTGAAGGCAATCCACTAAGGATCTGATCTTCATTGTCTTTATTACTCAGAGATGTAAAACCTCAAGAAAGTATTTTAACAACCTCCAAATTCCAGCAAAGTCCCCAGGAAGATTCAGAAAGGTTCAGTTCCAGCCACCATGACCTCAAGTGACACACAGTTAATAGCCAAGGCTGTTCAGAGGTGACTGCCAGGCAAGTGGAATAGAGAGGTCCCTGCACTCCCCCCATGCCCCGTTGCCTTTCCACCATCCCCATCCACCAAGACATGTTTTGATGCTTTTTGCAGTCCCCCAGGTTCTCTACACCCGGGGTTCTGAAGCAATTACCACACAATCCACCTTCCCTTCGGTGGCCACAATAATCATCAGCGTCTAATTTGAGAAAACTAAACATGAACCCATGGCTGAGCACTCTGGCTGGGACACCAGGAGTGCAAAGAGGTTTTTCCAGGGGTTTTTCCCACAGCTCCACTGGAGCCTCAGCTTCCCTCTTGTAGGGATGCAGTGATGTGCAACCCTGTCCTGTTTTGTACTTAGTACCCAGACATTTATTGCTCTCTTAGCCAGACATGACATGGCCAAAGTGTGTCCTTCAGAGCCTCGAGTCAATTCTTATTCTCTTGTTCAGTGCTAGAAATAAAACATGCTCACGGCATTCAGATCTATGTCTGAAACAAGATTTAGTTTCCTAGAAATATTCATGTGCTGCTGAGTGCTGCCTGTGCAGAGGAGAGAGCTCTGGTACCCTGCTGTGCACCAGAGCAGGCTGGGCAACAGGCCATGGAGAATTAAAACATGTTGGCTGAGTACTTTCAGTTAGCTTCAGCTGAAGGAGTTTTGCTTTTTATTCTCTTTGGTTGGACCATTAGTAAGGATGGGAAGGAATGATGTGGCTATGATAGTTTTTGCTGTAAGCCTATCGGGACTCTGTGATGCTTTCTCAGTAGCCAGCCTAAGAGGGATCTAAGTATAAAAATACCAGGCACATCCAGTCTCCAGTGTTGCTCGAGGTGCACTCAGAGAAATCCTTATGTAGAAAGAAAGAAGAGGAATTCTGGCCACTGAACATGGCCTTTCTATCTTGAACCCAGGAGCTTTCAGAGTGTTAATAAGTACCGGCACCTTCATTTGCTAATGTACTTTCAACAGATCTGACTATATTTTATTAACGGGTGAATGTGGGGGTTGGAATGTATTGAAACTGTCAGAGACCATGGGAAGGAGAAGCTACAGCATGCAGTTAAGAGTACCCATGGGAAGGAGGAACCACAGCAGGCAATTAAGAGTGACCCGTCCCTGACTGGTACTTGGAAGATGTTGGAACTGGCAAGGAACAAGGACATCGGAACTGAGGATGTTGATAAGAAAATCGGATAGACCTTTCACCTGATGTAACTGCAAGGCAAACACAGATGTGCTTGGCTAATTGCTTGAAAGCATATAAATATCATGTAATCTTTGCAATAAACAATCCAGCTTGTACTATACCTCTGGCTCTGTGCCTCCATCCTCACAGGTGAACTTCTCCCAGGTGGTTCTTCTAAATAATTAAGGTCTGCTCTAATAAAAAAGCCTGACATTTATGAATATTATGCATCTCTTCGAATGATGTCCAAAATTTGTGCTCACCTGATTGTATGCAAGAAATTAGAAGGTTGGCCTAGAAAACCTGAAAACTCTTTTTCACAGAAAATATTTTCACTTTCTAGCAAGATGAGTGTCCAGTATAATGAACTATGCTGCATATTACTTACCTAAAGCCACACTGAGATTTTTTTAGCATAAATGGAATAGATTATTGCACATGTTCTAAACCAGGTGGAATTCAGGGTAGAAGGAAAATGGTCTTGGCCCGTTGCTGTTTCGCCTCAGGCAAAGAAGAATTAAGGTTTTCAAATACTGATGTGCTGAAGTACAAATAACAGAGGACTGCAGGGCATTCACCCTTTCTTCTACAGAACAAATAGACAGGAAGAACATTAATAGCATGAAATTAAACAAAAATGTCTCAGTATTCCAGTTAATCCTTTATCCCGACTAAATAAATTGAAAGAAATTATTCTGAGCCACTACATTCTTTCCAAAATGAAATGCCTTAGATTTTGTATTTGTAAATGTTTTAAAATTGAATTTATATACATTTAGATGAAAGCGGTTTCATTCGAAAAAGTGAAATATTTTGACTTCCTCTATCTGTTCCCACGGTTCATTTTGATCCATTGACATGTGTGTTTGGGAGCTGCTGTGATTGACCCGAACGCTCAGTTCAGCGCCCACGGCGCACTCCCGCCCTGGTAGCGCGCTACTGCTTTCCGAGGCTTATTTGCATAGCCCCGCCCCGCCGCTCAGGCCCCGCCCCCGAGCGCCGCTGTCCGTGCCGTCCGCCTCCACTAGGTGGCGCCGCTCCCCCTCTCCCCCGGGCCACTGCGCCTGCGCGAGTCCGCGGAGTCCTTGGAGCGGCGGCGGGTGCAGGCCGCGGTGTGAATATGCAGCGTTGGGGACGCGTATCCTGCGCGCTTGCCCGGGTACGGCGCCGGCGGGGTGCGGCTCTGCCGCGGGGCTGGAGGGCGGCGGGCTGAGGCACGGCACGCTACCACGCTTGGGAGCTCTGGCCTGTGCTTTCCTTACGCCCCCCGACCCTTCGCCGGGAGCGGGCGTGAAGGCGGGCGGAGCCGGAGCAGGCGCTCTGCGGCGGGCGCGGGGCTTGGCTGCGGTTTTGCCCCTTCTCTGCTTTCGCTTCCCTCGCTGGGAAAGGGAGCCGCTGCTCGCTCAGCGCGGCCTCGGCTCGGCTGAGGTGACGCGGCGCCCGCGGCGTCGCTGGGCCCCGGCCCGCGGGAGGCCGCAGCTTCGGGGAGCGGCCGGGCAGAGGTGAGGGCGGTACTGCGGAGCTGTGGGAGCCGCGGGCTGCCCGAGCGCTGCTTCCCGTTTCCTGGGCAGCGCTGTGAGGTTCGGGATACCTTAAGGAGCATCCTGCAGTTAGAGTGATCAGCCCGAGACATGCGTATAGCGACTGTGCTGTCCCATTGCCGCCTCTGAGGTGTTCCTACGTACAGAAGGTGGCTGAAGGGAGTGGAGCAAGACTTTTAGTATGACCTCCTGTGGGTGTCTGATTAACGCCGTTGAGTGGTTTGAGAGCCACTCAAAGTTTGAGAGCTACAGCAAGGATTGAAGGATTGCGTAGAGGCAGCCTTAGGCGAGTTGACGTGAGAGCAGGTGAAATGATGGCTCAGGCTGCGCAGCAGGTAAATGGCAGAGTGACTCGTACCTCCGCTACCAGTCAGTGCCCTCTGTGTCTGCCTCAGTCATGTGCTGTGTTAGTTAGCTGGTGGCTGTGACTGGTTTCTGTGTGGCCGAGTGCTTACTTGTCTTCAAAGGTAGACTTCAACTTTTAAAACTTAAGTTTGTTCCCTTTCTAGAGAAGCCATTTTGATCGAATTCATCATGGTCTCCAGGGAATTGGTGCAGTGTCACAAAGGTCCTATGCTGACCAAGGTAATTAACTGTGAAGAATTTCTTTAGACAAAAAACCCCAACCTAAACCCTTCCAAATAAACCCCTACAGAAACCAAAGCAGTGCTTCCAACTTGGAAATAAGTCTTCCAGATGACAGTGGAATCAATGTCAGTGTGGAGATTTAGATGAAAAATAGTGTCTTATTTGCCTTATTTGATAGCAGGCTAAAGCTATAAATGGAAGTTGAGCTTTATATAATGTAGGAACAGTGATGGTAATTAATATTTGAAAGGTAGTTGTGGCTTGAGATACGAGTTAGATATGGAGTTCATAGTTTCTGCTGCATTCATAATTAGTAGAGGTTCCATAAATAGCTATTTCAGCCATGTTTTTTCCTTTATAAACTACTGATTTTATGGCATTCAGTAAGCATTTATCTTTTGCACTAAATGTTACAATAACCTATCCAGACATCATGGGCTAAGTTCTTCAAGGACTTCTAGCAAGAGGATGGATCAGACAGAATTCAGGTCCTTCATTTCTTTTTACATTATTTTTCCCTGTAAGGTTTGAGACTGGCTATTTTAATTGGATCATAGAAGACCAGTTTGGAAGGGACCTCAAGAATCATGTGGTCCAACCTTCCTTGGCAAACCATGACTGACTATATGTCCCAGGACCCTGTCCTGCCAAATCTTTAGTATCCAGTACTGAGGAATCTACAACTTCCTTAGGGAGATTATTCCAATGGCTGATTGTTCTCACTGGGAAAATTTTTCCTCCAGTGTCCAAAGAGAATCTTCCCAGGCGTGAATTCCTCTATGCAACCTTTGTGCAGAAGGTTACTTTCAAATGCAAGGTGTAATTATCTAACCCAACTTTATTATTGCATCATTTTAAATAGCTGTTTTTCTTCTACTAAAAAATACCTTTTAAAGCATGAATTATTTCAGAACTTATAAGCTGATATTCCTGCAGTAAGGTATTAATTGCTGAAACAAAAATAACTCAAATGTTCTCTGTTTCAGTTGATGCTGATGTCACAGTTATTGGCTCTGGGCCTGGAGGGTATGTTGCTGCTATCAAAGCAGCTCAGCTTGGGTTTAAGGTAAGATGAGATCTCACTCAGATAGCAGAATATTCCTTCACATGAACTTGAAAGGTATTTTTGTAATACTGAAAAACTGACATTCTTCTGTCGCATCATGGGCCACCAGACGCTGTTGATGTGTCAGTAATCTTTCTTTACCTTGTTTACCCAAATTATACAGAAGTTGAAATGGAGATGTGAAGGTAGTACTGTCTACAGCCTTGCTACTGACATTTGTGCTCAGGGCAGCTCACTTTTCATTGGAAGTCGTAATTGAGGTGGGCTTTTATTCTTGTGGAAGAGAAGGTGGGAAAAGAAAGACAGTGACAAAAAGGGCACTGAAAAACTGTCCTCAAGAACAGACTGAGGGAACTCAAGAAAGAAAAAACAATATTCGACTGATGTGCTTTTTGAATGTGGATAGAGGAATTCCATTGACATGTGAGAATTTGAGGTGAAAATTTGTGTGTGGAAATACTGTATGTTTCATTTACACTTATTTATGTTCATCTCTGTTCTGTTGTCTTTGAGTACCTTTTGAGAGAGGCAACTTCATCTGATGTGTACTGATTATGTGTATGACTAATTATTAATTGAGTATTGTGAGAGTTACGTGTGCATAATGCATTTCAGATTTTTTAAAGGTGCTCAGTGGTACAGGTTTTAATTGAGATTGAGGTCTTCTGCCATATAAGTTCATGCTTGTTTATTCTAAACCTGTCTTTTGTGGCTATCTGCCTGCTTTTCATGGAGCAATGCTGTCCTCTGGTCCTTCATCTGTGATTAACAAGGGGATACCATATACAAGGAGGTTAAAAAGTGCCCTGGATTCCGTTTTCATCATAGCAAAAAATAGTTTCCTTATGCTGCTTCACAGCTAGTCAGCGTGGGCAAAATCCATGTACATGCTTGCATGTGTCACCTGTAGGACTGAATAAACATGAAAAATGTTTATGCTGTCCTTGAATGTAAGGAGATGTTTTTGTAAGACCATCAAAAAGATGGATTCTATAACTATACCGTCCGTGAAGAACCCAAGTGTGCTCTACTGGGTTACTGAACTTCAGCCTTCAGTTTTAGTGCTGCATCTGCCAGTACAAGTTTTAAGCCGTTGTAGTGCTACCACAGCATCCCATGTTATTGCCAGCAATATTTTCTGTCTTTTTAACTTTGCTTGGCCTTTTTGATGTAGTTGGTGTAAAGCAGATGAGGCAGAACCTCCTTATGAGGTAAAGGTAGGAGCAGTTTGGTGGTGTTTGATCCATAACGCAGCTTTTAAAACACTTGGATCATTTTTTTTCCTGCAATGTGCTTAAAACAGGAGGAAGGGTAGAGACAGATCAATGAGTTTCTAGGATTTGACATGCAAATTCTGCTCTTCATGTTGCCATCACCTGTGCTTCAGCACAAAAGCAGCAACTTCAAGAAGTGAAGAAAAGCTTTTAACCTGGGCAGTTACTCCTCACAAATTGGAGTTCTTAAGAGTATAAACCAAAGAACTATTATTTTGAACATATGTACCTTGCAAAGAAGGAGATGCCAGTTCTGCTTCCATAGAAAAGGTTTATGATACCCTCTTCCCTCCCCCCCCCCCCCATGAAATCTGGTTTTGGCAGTTGGTTTTGTGTTGATGTTTTGTTTGGGCTTTTTTCCTTTGCACACTTTGATGCTGACAGGTTGATGAGAAGGAGATGAAATATTTTTCATCCCTGTTGTTATTGACCTTATTTTTGCTTGGCTTTGCTTTATTTGATTTTTACTTTTTTCTTCCTAGGTATTGGCAAGCTTTGTAGTTATATAAATATATAGTTATAATGGGTCTTGCAGGATAGCATATTTTAGAGGGAAATGTTTGAGGTTTGGGGGTTCTGTTTTCTTTAAATAAAAGATTACTTCATGCAGTTACAATGAGTGCTGGTCCATTTATTTGTTGTTTGCTTGTGATTAGTTGTTTTTAGGAATTTTGTGTGTGATTTACAGTGTTTGATCTATGCAGATGTGTTTTTTTCCTAATTGTAAGGGGAACATCTTGCACAGACTGAGTGTTGCATTTAATTGAGGCAATGTATATTTTTGAAGTAGAGCACCACCCTTTCAACATCCGTGAAAGTATAAAGGGTGCAGTGGAGAGTGTGGCTCTTTTCTATTGAGAATTTTGTTGCAAAGAGCCATTTTGTGGTTTTTAAGTTAGGAAAAAAGCAAGGGGAAATCTGAGCCTGGAAGTCAATCTAGGAATGAAATTAATGAGACACTTGTAGAGGAAGAGTTACCAGATAAATGCCTGTTCTTTGTCACGAACTCTTAATTTGTGATACATCCTATTAAGGAAATGGTAGCATGAAATTGCTAAAATAATCTTTCTTTCCCCCCCCCCCCCTTCTTTTTCCTCAGACTGTCTGTGTAGAGAAAAATGAAACATTAGGTGGAACCTGCTTGAATGTTGGGTGTATTCCTTCCAAGGTAAGTGTATGTCGTTTGTCATAACTTCATTCAGAACGACAGATATTGTATGCATCGCTTGGAAAAAGATTAAGAAGGAGTTTCTTAAGATCAAGGTACTTTCTGTAAACATTGAAATTGTAATCCAGATGAGTTGAGGATGCAAATAAATATAAGTAGGATTAAAATTTTACTTGGTTAATAGAAATGTTTTGTTTGAAGACTGCTTTATCACCAAAATAGACAAATTTTCTCACTTTGAGCTGCTGAGTCTGTGTAATGAGAACTGTTTCAGATGTTTCAGGCTAAAATTTTAACAGGGATTTCAGTACAGGTTTTCCTCATCCAGTTTTTCTGTATCCTCTTTTTGTTGACAGTCTCTTGTCTGAGGTAATAAGGAAATTCTCCTGTGAGTCAGGCAGAACCAGCTTTCTTTCCTCTACTTGAAGTCTGTCCTTATGGGATTCTTTTGGGGAGGGTGGTGTTTAATCCCCATAGAGTCATTACCAGTTTCTCTGCTGAAATGAGCAAAAGGATAAGTGTGGATTTAACTATTTTCTATTTTTGTTAAATATGTAATTTTATAAAACACTTGCGTAAGAGCTATACAATTTCTGTGTTTGAAATATATCTTTAAATACATGTCAGACTTTCATAATACTGAGAGTATTTTGCAAATAACATGAGACATTTTTTTCCTGATAATATAATCAATGAAATTATGAATGCATGTCCCAGGTCACATTTCTCTGTGTGTGTTTTAGGCCTTGCTGAACAACTCACATCTGTATCACTTGGCCCATGGAAAAGATTTTGCTAATAGAGGAATTGAACGTGAGTGTGAAGAGTAACTGGTCAGTGCCTGTTAACATAAGTGGCTTCCACCAGAAAGTAAATTTAATCACTCAAATGTGACTACTGTAGTTTTCTGGTCAGAAAGCTTTCTAGATTTACAAATAATGCCCTTTATCTGTCAGTTGGAGGGTTAGGGACGTGTGTCTGCTCCTTGAATGGATAGATAAGACAGCAGTATTATGCTTTATCACACTTTTCAGGTATAACATAGCAGTTGTTGAATGTAACCTTTAGCATTTGTGGGCCATTCAACGCATCTTACTGTGGCAGAGCTATTACTTGTATTTAGGTTAGCTCCTATAAAAACACCATAATGCTTGATTAAAGTTGTTGGGATTATTTTACCTTAGTTGCAGGAGTCCGTTTGAATCTGGAGAAGATGATGGAACAGAAGAGTGGTGCAGTGAAGGCCTTAACAGGTGGAATTGCTCATTTATTTAAACAAAACAAGGTTAGTTTGGATTATATTCTGAGGTATATCCATGGATTTTCTCTCATCTGAATTTCTTTTTGCATTTGCATATTTTTGCCAGATAATTTGAGTGGATGGATTTGGTAAGGGCAGAATTTGAATGCTCCTCTTCTAGGAGATGTTTAAAAGAACAGTTCCTTCATTCTTAAACTACATAAAAGTATAGTTAAACTTACTTTGTGGTTTGTAGCAGATGGTGATGCAAAGGTATGTGTTAGCAGCTCTTTTAAAACGTTGGTGAGATTCAGATTAAATGTATCATAGTTTATGTAAGTAATTTGAATCTGAATTTACTGTGTTCTCGTTACTGAAGGTTATACATGTATCTGGGTTTGGAAAAATAACTGGCAAAAACCAAGTCACTGCAACCAAAGAAGATGGCAGCACACAGGTTGTCAATACAAAGAATATTCTGATAGCCACAGGCTCAGAAGTTGCCCCCTTCCCTGGAATTACTGTACGTATTTGAAATCTAAATTATACTTTTTTTTTATGTGTTTTATCCAAGTAATCCAATGTGTAACAATATTTTGCATCTCCCTGCACTTCACCTTTTGTGTGATTTATATATAATGTATAAAAGAGATCATAAACCTCCCTTTGTGGATTTGTCATTAGATTGATGAAGATAATATCGTGTCATCCACTGGTGCGCTGTCACTGAAAAAAGTTCCAGAAAAGATGGTTGTCATTGGTGCAGGAGTCATTGGTGTGGAACTGGTGAGAGGAAATTTAAACCACTTGCTTTTTAATTTATAATGGAACAGAGTGGTTTTGGTGTTTTTTTGGTTTTTGGTTTGCTTTTTTTTTTTTGTGTTGCACTTGACTGTATGGCTGTGATTTAACAGATGTTCGGCTGAGTGAGTTGTAATGAAACTGTTCAGGCTTCATAGCCTGCTAGGTCCTTTTTCTCCCAGAAAAGCTGGGATAAGTGTGTGTAGGATCTGTGCTGCTTCAGCTGGTTAGGTAAGCAGAGAATTGAGAGTGCAACATACAGGTGTTGGGGTTTTTTGCGGGGGATAAAAAGGGGTAGTATCTTTCACTGAGGTTTGTACCTGCTTTTATATGTACAGAACTTCCTGTTTTAAGGGAAGTTCATTTTAAGCCAGAACAAATCCTTGTGCGTAGCAGTTAATCCCAAGAAATTTTAATGTAACGTGATTGTACACATTCTATCTAACAACTAAAGGAGTGGAGACTTCGTCTTGGTTCAAGTTCTTATGTCTCATACCTACATGGCCCAAAAAGAATGTGTATTTGCTGCTCTTGTAACTGCTTGAAAACTTCTACTTAGTAGCTGCTTAACTTGCTGACTGTTAAGCATGGAAAGAGTAAGCAATGTGAAATACTATGTTGGATGGATGTGGGTAACTGCAGGTAAATAGGGTGTGAAGCTGATTGTAGTGGGTATGGTTAAAAATACATGCACAACCAGCAGTGGCTCCATTTTATTGCATAGTTTCCTTAATGTGGTATTAGGACACCACAAGCAATTCCCTTTGGGTTTTCTGAGATACATTCGGATTCTTTGACTTTAATCTTTTTCTATACCTATAACCTAAACTGTACCTAATCTGTACTGAATTGTTTTGTTAGCTCTTTCTTTAATGGCTTATTTCTATGAATTCAGTATTGAAGTTTTGGGTATGCAAACAAGCAGCAATAAATCCATTTTTGTGGGAAAGGCTGGGGAAGGTTGGATTTGTTCTATTCTCCACCGTAACGTTTGTAAACACTGATCAGTTTGCTGTTGTATGTTACCCTTCTTTTCAAAAGTTTATGGTCTGTGGTAAGTATCAAATCTGAAGTTTGCCTATCAAAACTTTTTTCCCTGTATTGCTGTGACTGCAGGGTTCAGTTTGGCAGCGCCTCGGTGCAGATGTGACAGCTGTTGAGTTCATGGGCCATGTTGGTGGAATGGGAATTGACATGGAGATCTCTAAAAACTTCCAACGGATTCTTCAGAAACAGGGTTTTAAATTTAAACTGAACACCAAAGTTACTGGTGCTACCAAGAAACCAGATGGAAAAATCGATGTGGCGTAAGTGTTTAACAGAAAACTAGAGGAATGCCATATATATATGTTTCCTCTCGATCCATCAAACAGTCTGACATTATTTTTTAAATAGGAAAAAAAAAGTTTTGAATTAAACTTAAATCTTTAATGAAATTTAATTCTTTTTATCCTGTATTGTAATTTACAGAGCTCATCATTTTGGGTTTATTGAGTCCCAGGTTGCTTACCCAGGAGAGGTTCTATTGACTTGACTTGTACTTTGTGCTAGTACAAAACCAGTGTTGGTGCACTGAGATAAGTAATAAAAATTCTAAATCATGCTTTTCATGGAACATGACTGTAAGAGTGATCATGATATTTATTTTCAAGCCATTAATTCTTGGCTACTTACTGTAAGGGTTATTCTGTCCATACCTCTTCTTGTCTCACAATAAGTGTGGCAGAGATTTTATTGTGTTTGACTAGAAATAGATGAAACTGCTCTGGAGTGTCTTTTAATGGCCACACATGAGCTCGTTGAAGACTTGGAGGTGAGCAGCTAATACAGAAACTTAATAGCAAATTTATTTTGTGAAAGTCCATATGTATACACTATTACTGTTCTTTCTCATTAATGTATTCTTTATGCCAAAACTGTAGTTTGAGTTTTAAGGAAATGCTTAATGTTAATTAACAAAAGCAATTTTAAATGTTTTCTTTTTTCACTGCAATCTTAATATGGTGACTTGTATTTGCTATATTGCTATAGCTCAGGATAGTCTGTCTTCCACTGAAAAGGTGCTAGATTTGCTCTTCTTTACCATGCTGATGATGGTTGGAGTTTCATTCTGTTTCAGGAGTATTCTGTTGGAACACACTTATGCTTATTCTCACTCTGTGTGCTTTGGTTCTTGTGCTCTCAGAGCATGTGAACTGAACTCGTTGCAGGCGCAAATAAATCCAAAGATGCACTTGAGGAGTGCACCCAGTGCAGGGCAGCTGCTAGGAGGTGTTTGGTTCTGTGTGCCAGAAGAAAGCTGGCTCTAATGGCCCACCCCCAAAATATATACAGTTTGGATGCTGCACCAATTATTTTGCTGTACAGATTTGATCCTGTCAGGCCATGCTGCTTGCTAATGGAAATACACCCTGAATTTCTGTATTGAAGAGTTGTTAACAAGTGTAGTAACTGTCCCTTCTTCCCCTTTTATTCCTCAACTCTTGCAGGGAAGAAGCGTGGGGAAGGCTGAATCAAAGTGTTTGGATGACTGATTCAGCCCATAGATCACTGTCTGGATTATCTTACTTAGTAGTGGGGGAAATGCAATGCTGAAAGTTTACAGCTTAACATTTTTGCTACTTGTGTTTTTATAGTCTTGAAGCTGCTGCTGGTGGCAAGGCAGAAGTAATAACCTGTGATGTGCTCCTAGTCTGCATCGGGAGACGTCCTTTTACCAAAAATCTAGGTCTTGAGGATCTTGGAATTGAACTTGATAAGAGGGGGAGAATCCCAGTCAATAACAGATTCCAAACCAAAATTCCAAAGTAAGAAAGACTAAGTATTTTCTATTATTTGTAAAAGCTTAACCTACTAAAACAATTTTTTTGTTTGGTTTTAATTGCAGAATGTATGTTTAATTTCTGAAAGGAAAACTCAAAGATTTCTGTGTATTTCAGGAATGAAAGACTTCAGTCAGCCTTTGAAGTCTTTGTGATTTCAAAGTGACTGCTTGTATTTCACGTCTCTCATACTTGAAGTGTGGTCATTCTGTGGAAACTGCTTTTTTAATACTTTGTATTTCTCTTGAAATTCAGTATTTTAATCTGTTCTGATTGAAGTTTTCAGTAACATGTTTCAAACTGACTGTTATATAAGGTAGCCTAGGTGTGCTAGGATGTTTTTAAACAGTGTCTTATTCTGTTTCATTGGTCTGATAGCATCTATGCTATTGGTGATGTAGTTGCTGGACCTATGCTGGCCCACAAAGCTGAGGATGAAGGCATTCTTTGTGTAGAAGGGATGGCTGGAGGAGCAGTTCACATTGACTACAACTGCGTACCCTCTGTGATATACACTCACCCTGAGGTGGCCTGGGTTGGTAAATCGGAAGAACAGCTGAAAGAAGAGGTACTGTTTGTTTTCTTCTCAGGCAAAACCTTTTCCTCCCTTGGGCAGGGGTTCATTGTCTAGTAGTCTATCTGGCTACTTGTTTCAGGAGAATTTCTGCATCTGAATTTACTGCTTAAGGTCTATGACTGAATGATTCCCTCTGGTGTGCCACTGTCCCAGGGATCACTGTTCTCTTTAATGACTTTTATTCTGTGAAGTTAATATTGTTTATTTGCTAATTTATCTTTTTTTAATACTCCCTTAACCCTTTGGTGGTTGTTGTTATGGATTGCTCTGTGTGTCATCTTACAGAATCGCAGAACGGTTTGGATTGGAAGGACCTTAAAGATCATCTAGATCCAATCTCCCCCTACCTTACACTAGACCAGGTTGCTCAGAGCCCCATTCAACTTGGCCTTGATCACTGCCGGGGATGGGGCATTCACAGATTTTCTGGGCAACCAGTTCAAGTGCCTCTTAGTGAAGAATTTCTTCCTAATATGTGTCTCTTACTTTTCTGTTGCTTCTGTTCTTGTACTTACCAAATTGCATTTATGATTCCATTGTTCTTTAGGGTGTAGAATACAAAGTTGGGAAATTTCCATTTGCGGCGAACAGCAGAGCGAAGACAAATGCTGACACGGATGGAATGGTGAAGATCCTTAGTCACAAATCAACAGACAGGATGCTGGGTGCTCACATTTTAGGCTCAGTAAGCATTGTAAATTGTTCTGCTGTCTTGGCCTTGTAAGGGTCTGCTATTTAGTTTGCACAGTTGCAGTGAAGTTGTCAACTGAGAAGTGGTGCTTGCAGAAAGAAGGACCATAGTCAGTTTTATTTTCTCTTCTCTTCTGCAGCCCTGCTGCTCTCCCACTTTTCTGTTACTGTGGTGTTAGACCCAGCACTTATTTTTACCCCTAGAATTGGCAGGGTGAATTGGTTTCTCTGACCAGTTTTGGGTTGTATTTTTTTTTCTTGGTGATGGGGTGTTTTTAGTGGGATGTTTGAGTATGTCATAGGAATAGTGTGAAATACCTGAGAGAACAGCAGAAATTGCTGACTCTAGTCCTGGAAGTTGAGGGAGCTGAACAGACATGACTCTGGCTTTTTTATTGGTGGTTTCTTTCCCCACTCTGAACTTCAGACTTCGGCGGAGCTGGTAACCTTCTGCTGCAGTCACCAAATGCAGGGTCAGTAACTTAGGAACTTTGATTAAAAGTGCTTTGTAAAAATGACAAATCAGATAATTAAAGCATCAGTTTTTGCTGTCCCGCACATTCCAGAGTTAGACCCTAATTTGTCTCTAGTTTGCTTATTATACAACTTTCCTTTTGGTTTTTTTAGCCGAAGATGCTTGTTTACAAGCTGTTACTCATTCAGGAGAACCCAGATTTGTGCTAATTCCAAATACTATTAAATTACAGGGTGCTGGAGAAATGGTTAATGAAGCTGCCCTCGCTATGGAATATGGAGCATCATGTGAAGATGTAGCCAGAGTTTGCCATGCCCATCCAGTAAGTGTTTTCCTAGAGTGGGCTGTTGAACACCACTGTTAGACAGATGTGCTATAGCTATTAATGACTGTTAATGACCTATTAATGACTTACACCTTTTTGTGTTTGCTTTCGACAGACAGTGTCAGAAGCCTTCAGGGAAGCAAACCTAGCAGCATCTTTCGGCAAAGCTATCAACTTCTAAAATGAAAGAGCAGATCTTTATATGTGTATAGTGCATCTCTGGACATGAACTGTGGGCCCTTATGCAAGCCTGAGTCAGAGGATTTTAGGACTGAATTAAGTTTAATCTCTTCATTCAAATATTTAAACAAGTAGAGTTTGGAACAAGTGGAATTATCCAGTCTCTGTAAATTAAATACTGAAAATTACATGTTTATTTACATGATGAATGTTACAGAAAACAGCCTGACAGAACTCTTCTCTCTTTCAAAACCAAACATTGCGCTGCTGCATGGGATTATCAGGTTTGCTGGCCAAAACTCTGGATGAGTGCCCAGCATACCTGGTGTTTTCTTATTTGAAGTAGTGATAGGCTAAACCAGTTGAATGCTGGCACTTAAAATGCCACTGTCACTTTCGCACAAAAATGTGTTTCCTTCTGAAAGGATTAACTTTAGTATTTAACCTACTTCTTAAAACAAGTTTTGGTACTTGTATGTGACCTAGTAATGTTAGGATCTTGGGAGAAGAGGGGCTTGTATAGATCAATTAAAACTATGTTGACTTTAAAAACTATGTTGACTTTGTTCTGTGTGTGTGTGATTCTCCACACGTCATGTTTTCATATTGAAAACTCAGCAAGGTAAAAATTAAGTGCTAATGGAGAAATGAAAGATTGAAGAATTGATCTTACTGCACTTACTCTTTTTTCTGGTTTTAAAGCTTCTTTTTCCAGCTCTTAAACTTGAGACACTAAAACTGGGTAGTGAAGTAGCACTTGCAGTTAAGTGTTATGAAATGGGGGTTATTCTGCACCTTCCACACATAAGGGCTGTAGTGTCAGCTCTCCACAGAATTAAGACATACTCTCTTCTTTTGTTTTTGATTTTGTGCTCTTTCTGTCTCTTCTGTAATGAGAGAGCTCAATAAATATTTAATGTGGCTGGAGGGTGGTCTTGGGTTTTGTTTGCTCATCAGCCCCATTACTCCTTTTAGTGTTGAAAACATGAAGAAACTCGTGAACAAATGGCGTCTTTGGAAGATCCCCAACATGTACGTTAAATGTGCCTAACTCCAGTAGCTGATACGAACTTTTGTTTTGAAGGATGTCTTTTTCTGTAATTGTTAGGCTTATCTGCCTTGAAGAAGACCTTAATATGTGCTGGGGTTGTGTATGTCCTTTCTCATTATGCCAATGGAAAGAGAAAAGTACATGCTGAAAATGGTGGAAAAGCTACTTGGTTCTGTGTACTCAAGGTTATATCCTGCCTTTAGAGCTTCTTATTCAATCATTATTAGTCCATTATCCGAACTGAGTGATGGAAATATATGCCAATGTACCATTTTATTAAGATACCAGTTAATCAGTAAGCATCAGTGATGTTGTTCTTCATTTGGGTTTAACTCCTGTTTTAAATGGCAATGGGGTTAAACCGTGACAGCTTGTCACGAGGATATGAGGTAATCTGATCCACAGTTCTCTTGGGTTAAGTGAACTAATGCGGACCTGCTTTCAGGTATTAGTAGGAAGCTGCTGAAGGGAAAAGCAAAGGTGAGACAATAGTGAGGGAAGAAAAACCTGATTATTCCAATAGATCTTGGCATCTCATAATCAGTGCTAGCGGCTGCTGGGAAATGCGAGGAAGTGTTGATCTTGGGTTCTTCCTGGAAGCCCTGAAACAGTTTTGCATCCACTCCCTCTGCCTCCCGCTGTTTGGGGTAGTCTTGCTGCAGCTCATGCTTGAGGTTCAGAAAGTTACAAGTTCTCTTATTTTGTTCATGTTAAATGGAGTTTGGGAAGTCAGGGAGGCTAAAATTATACTGGAGATTATCTCCCAGATACTTTAAAATTCAGAATTGTTACTGTATTGTTACTTCTCTTGCTGACATTCCTGTTCTAGTGAATGTACAAAGAGTGTGTGTAATGGTAAAAGATGCATTACTGAGCTACCTGTCAGTGATCTGATGGCAGTAAAATCTGAATGCTGCAAGTTTGCAATTTGTGTTTTTCAACAGCTGCTGTGTATAGTGGCAGTGAAATGATGTCTGATGCTGGTACAGTGGTAGCCAATTCCTGTGTAACCTATGGAGCTTGGGGATGATTATTTAAACATACTGCTCTTCACTTTGCTTAGGTAGCGATACATTGTGCCATAGTTGCCCTGACTGACTTTCACTGACATCAGTCAAGGTTAGGTAAGGGCAGAGTACATACACAGATGCATTCCTCAGCTCAGAGTTAGCACTCAGGATATGTAAATGCACATTGCAGTTTTGGATGCTGATTTGTGCAGCTGATTCACGTGTGCAGTACTGTACAATTGTCTGAAGATGCACTGCTCTACACACAGCTGAGATGAAGCATGATAAACTGCATGTTGCACTTTGACAAAAGTCTTATTTAAGTGCAGCTGGTCTTAAGGAGCTGTCTGTGTGCAGCTCCTTCACTGTTTCACATCAGCACCCTGTGAACATCTGTACTCCCTTTTTCAGATAGGCTTGGTTTGCCAAGCTTGGTTCATGACATAAATTTGGTGCTTGAAGTGTAAATGACATCCACATCTTCAGTGCTGCCCTGTGTCCACGTAGCAAGTGTTTCATAATCAGTGACATGAAACTAATGTCAAACCTAAATGGGTATCACGCAGAAGGTAAATAATCCTTTTTGAGTTACCATGACATAAATGCCAGCTAACCACATCAGGATGGTGTTTTCTTCATTCCCTTGTAATTTTGGTGAGTGACCATCCACAGTTCATAGTAACTGGAACCCTTATGTAGAAGTACGTAGTTGGAGCCAAGATTTTATTAGATCTCTAAGCAGTTTAAAAACAAGACTTGCTAAAGGATTAACTGAGGTACCATTTCAGCTACTGAAAATAGGAAGGAACTTAATGATTCATACTAGGTACATACAGTGATACAAAAGTATTGTTTATTTTCAACATCAAAAAGTTACTTGTCTTTGGTTCTGTGACTTCAAAGTCAATATAAAACCTGTTCACTTTATCAGGTGTTAATCTCGTGTAAGACTTGTGGACTCTATCCTGAACACAAGCATTTCCTGCTCCCATTTACAAGCAAGTGCTGTAAACGGCCACCTTCTGGCTGATTGTCTGTAAGAGGGAGCGGACTGTCTCCTCCAGCTCCACCAACTGCTTGGCTTTGTCTTCCAGAACTCTTTGATTGTTTTCATATGTTTGTTCCAAGTCTGTCAGAAAAGGAAGGGGAAAACCAGCTTAATCAGCAGTGTTTTAATACAGTGAAATGCAAATCATTATGGTTAAGGATAAGTTACTATTCATTTTTATTGCAGAAGAGAATCTGATTAGGAATTTTAAAAAAAGCAAAGGCTGGAATTTTTTCCTTAACACTGGAATATAAAGTGACAACGAAGTAATTGCCCATTAAGTAGAAATCCAAAAGTATGCTTTGGTTCATGTTGAAAATAACTGTCATTCTCTGGCCTGTGGTGGCTTTTACGAAGTGAAATGTCATGGTTAATTCTATTCAGTGTGCAGGAGCAAATAAGTGGAAGAACTGAGTTCCCAGCCTGGCAAAGCCAAGGAAAACACAGCCCCTTCCCTGGCAGCTATGAGCAGATTGCTAACTCCTGGCTCAATCAACTTTAACCAACAGTAACAAATGTTAAATTAATCTGTAACCTGGAACTAATGTATTTTGATCACCTTTTGTTATAACAGCTTTCGGGGGGGGGGGGGGAAGCATTGTTTGAAGATGGGCATGTTACTTGAACAGGTTAGTCCTTGTCCTAAGCATAGTAGTTATGTTCCTTCCCTACAGTGGTTCTTGAAGCAGTGATTGGTGTTCATACCAGAAGTTTGTGCCTCACTGGTAAGTTTCAATGTTTTTAGTCTTTTGAATCAATAATTTCTATGTCCATAAGAATAAGGAAAGCAGATCAAAGCTCAGTAACAAAGAATTAACTTCCGTTTCCTCCTCTGCTGATGAATAGCTGGTATAACAACATTAAACTGCTTCATATTCTAAGACAACCACTTGCCCCTCAGACCAGCCTCACCTTTGAGCAGCTGGAGCTTGCTGTTTGCTTGAGCCAACAAGGCTTTAGCTTCATCTTGCAACATGGTGGCTTTCCTCCTAGCGCCAGCCGACTCTTCTGTCTTCCTGGCAATGAGATCTTCCACCGTTTTATACTTGTCGTTCAGCTCGGTGTCGAGGACCTGTTGTTCCAGATTGAAGCACAAGATGGAGCTCGTTCAAAAGACAATACAGCATTTCGTCCATCCTTACTAATGCGGAAGTAAGGACTGCAAAGTTAGCTCAGTTAAAAGCAGAAATAGTGGGATAATTCATACTGAATATTCAAGACCTGAAGTTCATACTTAATATTCAAGACCTTAAGAGTTGGGGTGAAGATTTCAGCAGCTGCCCTTTTGCAGATACGTGGTTGTTTTATGGCTTTAATACTGCCACTTGGCAAGGATTTACAGGATTCAGTTAGTTCTGTAACTAATAGAAGACATGGCCCTAGTACATCTGGAAAGCTGCATCTAATGAAGTACTGGCACCGCTTTTGGTGGAATGCTTGCACCTGGGGAGAAATACATACCCTTGGTACCCTTTCAGTAATGAGAACAGCTGCCTAGATTGTATAGGTGAAGCTGCTGGAGGAGTCATGGTTTCTCAGCTGTGCTTTGTGAGGTTAAGAAGTCCTATGACTTCTATAACTGAATTCAACAAAGAAGCAAGCTAAGCTGCAGCAGTGCTGCAAATCTCTTGTGTTTACTGGACAGCCACCTGAAATACTACTTAGTGTTTGCAAATCATAGAATAGTTAGGGTTGGAAAGGACCTTAAGATCATCAAGTTCCAACATAATTGATTTGATGGATAATACATCTCTCCTGTCAGAAGATGCCTCTCTGGAGACTGGTGGGCTAACTAGAGACAACAGATGGAAGCAAAGAAACTTCCTGTGGCAGATCTGTCAATTGTTTTGTTAATGGGCATTCTTTTGCTATTACAAAGGTATGTAGCTGACATTGTGAGCAGTGCTGTGTGCTCACACAGCAAACTGTACATCTCGGGTATTTCCAAATTACTTTGGGTTTATATTGAGCTAATGATTTTTCTTTGTTTCTTGATTCTGTATATGCCCAATTCCAGACTGTCCTGAATCTGTCATTCTCATAGAACTATAAATACTCTATACAAGGGGAAAAAGATGACCAGTTGTCCTGTGGCAGATAGTAAAGCTGAGGAACAGAAATGAATCTGCAAATGGCTGACAGCATGGCAGGGTGACAGGTTTCCTACAGCTAGCTGAGAACCTCAGAACTTCGAGTGCTTTTTTCCTCTCTAGCTGGTACCAAAGTATAAAGCGGTTATCTCTGGCAAGTGGGTTTAGTGCCTTCTCCACCCTGCCATGTACTTGAACAATAAATGAAATGGATCCTATGTATTCACTAATGTTCCTTTATCCAAACTGGGGTGAGAGTTTTGTTGGCTTTCCTTTAGCATCTTTCCTGAGCCTCTCACCTGTTTAACTTCTTCAGCATTTTGTTTTGCAGTAACAATTTTTTCTTCTATGTT